TCAGTCAGCCTCTGGATGGAAGTGATTCCAGCCGTGGAGCCAACTTTCCCATCCCAGAGGTTCGCTACCTCATTAAGGAGATCTCTGTCATCTGGCATCTTTATGGTGGAAAAGACTTTGGGAGTGTGAGCTCCATAGTTTCTCCTGCTAGAAGCCGGGGGTGAGTCATAAACTGGGTTCTCTTTACATTTGTTAAAAGGAAGACATATTTACTTAACTCTGGTCTTTACTCTGTCTTGCAGATGTACACCTCATAGCTCCCCATCTCAAACTCCAGTGAGACAAGCGAAGGCTTCAGGGCGGGTTGGTGGTGGAAAGGGAAGGAATCCTGATGTCCTGATGGAGATTCAACTCAGCAAGGTAAAGTTATGCTGTGCAGAAATACATGTTCATTATTTGGTGAAATGCCATTTGGGGTTTCTTCAGCTTTTCTTTTACTGCTTCTTCAGGTGAGATTCCAGCACGAGGTGTACCCCCAGATCTCAGCGGTGTCGCGTCCAGCAGTGGACCAGCCAGTGTCCCGGCAGGTGTTCTCTGTGCAGGACTTGGAGATTCGAGACAGACTAGCTGCCTCCCAGATGAACAAGTTTCTCTACTTGTACTCTAGCAAGGAAATGCCCCGAAAAGCCCATTCTAACATGGTGAGTAAAGCACCATACTTGTGGTAATCGTGGTAAGTTTTGTCCTGTCGTAACCATGTGTGTGCGCTTTTTGTCTTAGTTGACAGTCAAGGCGATGCACATGTGTCCTGAGTCAGGCCAGGCTCCCCCAGAGTGCTGTTTACGGGTCACTCTAATGCCTCTTCGCCTCAATATTGATCAGGTGAGAGTTGGGTACAAATTATTTCTCTAACCCTGGCAAACAATGAGCATTATCTTTTAAGTGATAGCTTCTTCTTTATTTGAAGGATGCACTGTTCTTCTTGAGAGACTTCTTTACAAGTCTTGCTGCTGAAGTTGAGTTTTTCTCACCACCTATTCACGAAGGTAAGATTGCCACAAAACTGTATAATTATCATGAATCCTACTTTTATCTCATGCATCTTTAACGTTTTGTCTGTTTTAGCGGTTTGTGTTACCACAAAGAAAGTGGCTGCCCCAGAGATCTCTTGCAGCTTCTCCAAGCACGCTGGTGGGAGCCAGGATCCAGCCCCAATCATCTCGGTGCCTGCACAGAGACGACTGAGCCAAAACGGTTTCTCTACATCCGGCAGGGAAGACGCAAATGACAGTGAAGCCTCTGCTTCTCCCTTCACAGACCAACCCATCTTCTTTAGGTTAGAGGTTATTTTTATTGACCACTAAGCCGTTTAACTTTCCAAACTGCTTGTTTGTGTTCAGAAACCCCTTGTCATCTTAACAGGGAGTTTCGATTTACTTCTGAGGTTCCCATTCGCCTGGACTACCATGGGAAACACGTGTCTATGGACCAGGTAACTGTCTAAGAAAGGACTTGATTAACTCCACGTTATGTTATGAGTGCTTCATGAATGATTTTTATGAGTACCTCGTTCCAGGGAACATTTGCAGGGATCATTTTCGGGCTGACACAGCTGAATTGTTCAGAGCTCAAACTGAGGCAGTTGTGCTACAGGCAGGGGTAAGTATACCGCAAAATGTATCTCATGAGACAATAAATTAGCAAAAACATAATTCGCACACAGTGATCCGTATTAAAGTAATACTTGTTTGTGTTTCAGATTATTAGGTGTGGATAAGCTCTTTTCCTATGCAATAAATGAGTGGTTAAATGACATAAAGACAAACCAGCTTCAAGGACTGCTGAGTGGTGTGGCACCTATTCATACTCTGGTAAAACTGGGTAAGTGTAACAGTTCAAGGGATAATCTCAGATGGTTTACTGTATTTGTTAAGAACAGGGCTGTTGCTGTACCTTGTTCTTGTTGGCCAGTTGGGATGTGCTACATGATTAAATGTTGCTTCTCTTGTTAATCAAGACATGAAATACTAGTTATTTAATCCAATTATGCAAATGTTTGTTAATGTACAGTGCACATCAACTGTCAGTTATACCTCAGCAACATTACACACTCTTTCCCGTGAGTGGATATAAACAAGCACAGTGAAAAGGAACACAAGTGACAGCTCTGTGAACAAGTGTAGATTTGCAGTGTTCTTATCTAGACAATAAACAGTTATTAGCAGGCCTTGTAAGATCACACTGATGAATAAGCTGAGCAGTGTGTAACCATAATCTGCTCAGGTCTATAAACATTAACATGTAAGCTAAGCAGTGCTCGTGTTAGCTACTTGCAGCAGAATAAACTGATGTGTATCAGTTGTATTGCAGATGCCAGCAATAAATGAAATTTAAGAATGCACAGGTCCAAATTTTTGTAGTTCTGATCTGACACCTTGGATATCAATAATGGTTCAAACTGCTGGAAATGCGCGAATGAAAGCTGCTGCTGTAGCTAAAGAGAAGCGTCTCCAAGCTGCTGAAGCTCGGATGTTAACTTCCTATACATTGCCTCACTCTCCCATTAGCAATCGAAGCATTGCTCCTGTTGCGCAATTATTAACACAGTGTAGAACTGAACTGAATGGATTAGCTGTGGACTGTAGCACTGACACCTATAACCTTAGCACATCTTTATTACACTTTATTATTATACTTTGTCTAATATGAAAGAATAAGATTTAAAAAATCACAATTTTTCCCAAATTGTATTTGTACAGACATTGTTTAACTTGTCAGTGAACTGTCTGTTATCTTACGTCCAGACTTGTTAACTAGTCTGATTTTTGTTGTTCTCTCATTTTAATTGACTTGTAAAGGAGTTGCCTGGTGCTTGGCCCAACAACTTTCTAATTTCTGAAAAGTTCCTTGAGTCAACATTTCCTTGTTTGACCAAATTTTCTTTATTGTTGCTGACATTTCAGAATCAGCCTTAATCACTTTCTTTTTCTTTAATAAAAAACAATCTGGAACAGAAACTGCTGTGAAAGTCATTTCCAATATGAGAGCTGAGGTCCAGCTTTTGACTTTCAGTTGCTTTACTCCTCTGTCAATGTTGTTTTTTTTTTTCTTTCATATTCAGTTCACGGACTCAGGGATTTGGTCTGGCTCCCGATTGAACAGTACAGGAAGGATGGCCGGATAGTCCGTGGATTTCAGCGCGGCACGGCTTCCTTTGGAACCTCTACAGCTATGGCTGCCCTGGAGCTCACAAACAGGATGGTGCGGACTATTCAGGTAAACTGGTCCACTGCTGCTAATAAAATATTTGCATGCATTTCCTTCTGTAAAGCACGTAGAAAAATCTATTAATTGTTGTCTTTTATAATTTTTTTTTTCTGTTTTTAGGCAGCCGCTGAGACAGCATATGACATGGTGTCTCCAGTGCCTGATGAGAGGGACACAAAGAGGGTAAAACGGATCTCCCATTATGGACTGGCTCATCAGCCTGTCGACCTCAGAGAAGGTGTAGCCAAAGCCTACACTGTGGTGAAAGAGGTAAAAAAAACAAATAGGAAAACCTTCAGTTCTGTGAAAGAAAAGATGTTTTAAGGACTGCAAAATGTTCCCACAGGGGATCACAGACACTGCACTAACCATCTACGACACAGCCACCCGGGAGCACGAGCAGCGAGGTATGACTGGGGCAGTCGGTGGAGTTCTCCGCCAGCTTCCACCTGCAGTAGTCAAGCCACTCATTATGGCCACTGAGGCGACTTCAAATGTCTTGGGTGGGATGAGAAACCAGATTCACCCCGATGCACGTCAGGAGGAGTCGCAAAAATGGAGGCAGGGCGACGAGTAAGTGTCATTGCCTTATGGAAAACTGAAACAATGACTGTGCAGCAGCTACAGCTTAATAGGTGTGCTTTTGAAGAAGGCAAAAGGTGGACAGTGAGTGCCGGTGTAAATAAAATGGTGTTCATCCTGTGGCAGTTTGAGCTACTGTGATTTTTAGCTTGTGTCAGCTTATCACATGCCTCACAGTGCCTTCATGGTCATCAACATTGTTCAACTGTATGCTTGTAATCAAATGGATGAAGAAGGGTGAGTTTGAGCAGCACTTATAATGTTATTGTGTATGATGCTATGTTGTAGGGTAGACCATACAAATGTAAAATGTAAAGGCTTAAGAATGAAGGAATAGGTCTTCATTTTCAAACAGCTGTTTACAGATTGTGTGGTTGCGTTCTCTTATCCTACTTTGTGTCAGCAAACACTAATATTCTAGGTGTAATGACCCTTAATTTATATAAGATGTACTGTATGTGGGCCTTGTTATTTACTGTAAATATTCCTAATGAGCAGCATTTCGTGCAAATATGAGAGAACAAATGTAAAAACTGAATGTGTTGCATCTTTGTAAAGCTCTGTAATCTGCACTTTTACCTGAGTCGAAGCGTAACAAGTGAGAGATGGGACGATTATCCAGACTTGTTCTAAGGTTTCACAATTTTAGTGTTGCATAATTTTCACAAAAGCTGCTGTTTAAAAAAAGGAAGCTGCGGTTTAAATTTAAAAACTGCTTTATTCTTGCAGTCTCGTGTATCACATTTTTGAATTGTTGATAAAGTGAATTACTCAAGATCCATAATTAAAGTCTTAATGTACTGATAATCTCATTTGTTTAGTTTTTTTTTTAAATTATTATTAAGCTATATGTTTATATATTGATGTCTGATGTGATCAATTGTGTTGCTAAGTCTTGATTTTTATTTTTTTTTCTTCCTTTTTTGGTTATGTGGTAAGAGTATTATTTCTTGTAAATATATGTACAGGTGACTCATGAATTTGTATTAAAAGCATGATGGAGAAATAAAAACGGTGAAGTTAACACTGGAGTGTGCTTGGTTGGTGTTTATTTACTTAGACTCTAGACATTTTTGTAAACCTTAGGAGTTGTGTTAGCATCATATTTCAACGTTTGCTTTATATATTTTATTCTGAAAACTATACGTCCGTCTGTCAAGTGATTTTTATTTTGAAAGCCTAACCTCGCTAAGTTGGCATGGCAACAGAACTGGTTCCCAAATCTCTATTGAAAAGTGTTAAGAGCGTAGACTTGGACTATTTTAAGGGGTTTAACATTTTAACTGTGTGCTCAAAGAGTGTTGGTGATGGCGGACATAGTCGCCGACCTGAGCACTCTGTGTTTTGAGAGCGGGCTCGCTGACGACGAAAAGAAGTTACTTTACCTCCGGGCGCGCTCGGCTGGACTGACATTTTGCGGGTGCGCGCACGCAGCTTTCGTGTGTGAGCTCATTGACTCGCTAAGGTGAACTCATCCCACACGTATAGTCTTGCAGTCATTTGAGTATATTTTAATCTGTCTGAGCTGCTTCATTCATTTGTATTATAGATGTGCCATCAGAAGGCGCACAGCGAAAATCAGAAAGCCAGTGGCACCAGGAGAGCACGACGACCTCCGCGTGGGTATACTTGGGATGGGCCATCTGGGAAAACAGCTGTGCCAAGCACTTCTTGAAAAGACCAAAATCAAACCCTCACATATTAAGATCTCCACTAGGAGACCAGAGTTAGCAGGTACACACGCACAAAAAGCCCAAATCTGAGAAAAATGCTTGTGATGCAGTGGATTTAAGATAAACTTTATTAGTCCCACGCATGGGAAATTTGTTTTGTTACAGCAGTGGACAGTGCAAAGTTGCATAGAAAAAACAATGGAATAGTATATCCATAAGATACTGTACACAATAGAATATAATAAAAATAAAATACTATATACAATCGAATAAAATAGAATACAAATGCTGTATACAATATGAGTATAATAATTTCTTGTGACAGGATTTAAATGTCATGAGACACATAATCTTAAAGTGGTGGACCTATTTCCTTTTTATTCTGTTGTGTTTATAGAGCGTTACAGTGGTGGATGCTCATATTAGACATGGTCAAAGCTTCAAATAATTAGATTCTTTCGTTGAAGTAATCTATGTGAGGTGAAAGATCGCTGTTCATGTGGCTATAAATGCTAGCTTTCCTACTGCTGGCTCCTCATGATATCACTCAGAGTGGATACCACTAATATGGTCAAACCTTCTGTTTGCAAGGGGCAGCCAGTCAGAAGAAGGCTGGCTTAAGGGATGAGAAGCTAAAGCTCCTTGTTTCAGATAGTGGGTAATCTGAGGGGTTTCCATACGCTTCCTTAATGACTCTCTTCACTCTTAAATTTTTAAGCTACCCAGATGCATTTTTGAGCAGATTTAAGCTAGGTTGTTGTTGTTTTGTTTTTTCAGTTATGCCCTTTTAAGACTATGAATAGTTATTGGTTGCTTGTTGTGACTCTATGGTATTCTTGAGTTAATCATTAAGCATGTGTTGGTTTAACTAAATTGCACTTGGACCAAACTTCCGTGTGTACTGATAAAAGAAAAAAAGTGTTTGCTAAGATCGTTGTATGTTCTGTGTTTCAGTGGAATTTGTCCATACAGAAGTTGAATGTTTCTTTGACAATCGCAGACTGGCAGCATGGGCGGATGTTCTTTTCCTTTGCTGTCTGCCCTCTCAAATCCCAAAAGTCTGTGTTGATCTCCGCTCTCATCTGGCAAAACACTGCCTCGTGTACAGTTTCACCTCTGCCATTCCCGTCACCAGGTACAGCCATATTCACACACACAAAGGACTGGTCATTTCTTGGGGGGGTTGGGTCAATGAATCGCTTTCTTTTGAATTACTGTCTCAGATTAGCTAAGCTTCTTGGACACGACTACATCCTGAAGCCAAAGTATGACGTTGTCTCTTGTGACACTGTGGATGTTTGGCTGTCCTGCAGTCATGTGGCCTCAGCTTTAGCAGATCCTTTGCTGATAGAAGCATCGTGTCCTCTCACAATGAAAGGTATGTCACTTCAGCATCTTTTCATTTTGTTTCATATGTGACAGAAAGTATTTTGCATGAGCTTCAGTTAAACAAGTTCTTTACAAGTTCTGTTCTTAGTTTGTACATTTTGATTCCACATGTAGGAGGTATTTCTCTGGGTCTGAACTGGGTGTGTGCGGTGCTGTATATCCTGTTGAATATCTGCACCTCTGCCAGTCTGGGATCCAGTGAGGCTCTCCTCTTAATTAAATCAATATTTAAAGAAAAATGTGGAGACACTGTGCAATTAAATGCACACAGTTTCATCAATTCATCCTATGCATCTTCTCTTCTCTCAGATGAGTGAGTAGATCAGTGTTTGTTTGTTTTTTAAACTGTCATATATCTCATTTAAATAGTAATTATATATTTCAACTTTATTCCAAAAAGGCCTTTTCCCTGGATTTCACTTATGGATGCCCAGATCAGGGAGACCCCGCTGCTGCGCTTTCTATCAAGCAGTAAATCTGTGCAACAGTGCCTCTCTGCAGCTTATAAATCCCAGATGGAGACACCAGCAAAGTGACACACTGATCAGCCACAGCATTAAAATCACTGATACGTGAACTCAGTCTCTGTGAACCATGTCTCATTTTGAAAGAATACATAACAATACGAAAAATTAAAAAGTAAATAAAAGTCTGTTTAGCTTTTTGTGACCTGTCTTAAATAATGAGGCTGGTCAGTGTGCTTCCAATTCAAAATTTGTATTACTGTGTTACATTTTCAATTTTGAATAAAAATCATTTTATAACATGAAGGACTCACTAAAGTTTGTGAAATGTAGATAGGTTTACTTCAGATACTTTTATGCAGTACAGTTACAGTGCTGTGCAAAAGTCTCAAGCTTACTATGTTTTTTTATTTTCTCTATTAAGCCACTTAACACTGACCTATGAAACATTAAAGCATCAAAAAATGCACTCATGGATGAACAAGTGTTGTCTCTATACAGCACAGGCGACTTGGGAAAGAACCAATTTTAAGTTGTATCTGTAGCTACTTTGGTGATGGCAGCCTCTTGCAAAAAACCTGGACCTTCATCTACTGTTCACTGCAGCCTTGTCAGTAAAGATCTCAGTGGAAAGACTTCTGTCAAGAAGCCTATCTTAAATAAGGAAAATGGGGAGAAACAGCTGAAGTATACCAAATTACACACCAAATGAACTGAAGACAGGTCCGATGGAGTAATGAATCCAGATGTGACATACAGAGGAGATCAGGGGTGAGGTACAACAGTGAGTGTCTACAGCCATCTGCAAGACACGGTGGAGGCACTGTCATAGTTTGGGTTGGCATTTAAGCCAGTGGTGTTGGGGATCTTGTTGAAATTAATGCAACAACATTAGGTTTGATTGCCAAAAGCTTCATTTTTCAGCATGACGATGATCCCACATGCACTGCCAATGCATTAAGAGCATACTACGCACAGGGGAACACTGTCAGTCATGGATCGCCTCCCCAGATCCTGGACCTCAACAATATTGAAACAGTGTGGGATCATCTTGACAGGGAATGGAACAAAAATACAGCCAACATCTAGAGAAGAGCTTTAAAGACTGCTTAAAGAAATAACAGGAAAGCTTGTCTAAGAGAGCTGTAGTTGTACAAACTCTGCTTTTGTCTTACATGTTGTCTTTCCATTTATGTACACGTTTTAATAAATTTCCTATTTCTTTCCTAGATTTTCCCAATTGAATAAGAAAAGCGGGGGTGCCTCAAGACCTTTGCAGAGTACTGTATCATGAGAAAAAAGACTTAAAACTGAAAAAAAAGATAGTTGTTAGATTTTGTTAAATAATCTGTGTTTATGATTTGGCTTTGGGACGTATACTTTTAGACTGGTTTAAATATTAAGCAGCGGCGTATGTCCTCAGAGGAGCTGCAGTAGGCTCCTGGTAAGGATGCAGATTCGCAGATTTTCCGAGAAAAGACGGAAGTGTCAAAAAATCCGGGTCTGTTTTTTCGTGTTGAGCAGCAGAAGCAGCAGCGGCAGCACTGTGGAGAGGTCCCTCACATGATTGCAGGGATATGGAGGCGGTTTTCCTCATGCCCTGAGCTTGATTAAACTAAAATCACATCATATTTTCGACGCTACGTTGTGGTGAGATAAGTTTTTGGGTGTTGTGTCCGCAGCTTCGGCTGTCCTTTTAACTGCTCGCTGGTTAGCTAGCGTGAGCTATAAGCTAACAGCTAGTCTGGTTAATGAAGTTAAGAGTTCCACGCACATGTAAACACAGCTCGTCGCTACTGCTTTAACTGTTAAATCAGAAGGCAATACTGCGGTTGACGGGGTTTATTATGTGAAACGGCAGCTTGTTTAGTTTAAACAGCCTGCTTTAGGAGGCTAGCTTCACCCGTCTCCCTCCCCTGTGGTTGGGAGGGGCGGGGTTTCATCTTTTTGCAGCCACGCAGACTGAGGTGTTTGCCTTCTCAGGACAGCCATGGAGAGATTAGAGGCTACATCACAGCTCCAGTCACGGCTTTCATCACTGTCTTTCTCATCTTTCCCCGGAGTAACAGCCAAACAGTGCGACAACACGCCACCGGACAGGTAACCTGTTGCTGCGGCTTTTAAATGGAGCTGCTATGCAGATGGGTGGTCTGAATGTTATCTTGGTTTAAAAATTCTATTCTTTCTTTACTTAAGGCTGCAGAATACAAATCTTTCAGAGAGCTTTACTCAGTCCAAAGACAGTATGGATGACACCAAGGAGGATTCAGGACGTCTTTCTGAGGTAGGTAATACTGTGTGCTTAGGTGAGCTGTAAACAAGTTGCAGTAAATAGGGAGGCATAGTCTAACAATTTAAGTCTTTACAATAATAACCCTGATGTGTGCGCATATTGAGGGTAATGAAGAGGCCCCTGCTGAGCTGGCCCTGGGGGAAGGAGGCGAGGAGAACAGCAGTGCAGGGAGCTGTCAGCTCTCCGCCGAGATGAAAGGTGAGGACCTGCAGTGTGCCATAGTGACAGCTGCTTTGTTCAGCAGTGATTCTGACTCTGCGGGTTCATAAACATCCCGCTAATTGCAGTGTGCGTGCACAGTATTTGCTTGAGATTTTGCCATCTTAAAATGAGTTGGATAAAGTGTTGCAGTTGCTGTCACATCTTGTTAAAGTCACTGCCGCGTGTCCCTTCTGATGGCAGCCCAGATGCCGCCCCTGAACCCCCCGACAACTTGGACATCTGCTGCTGTGAAGGAGTTAAAGGTGAAGCTCCGAACAGAGAAGGACAGCATGGTGACCGTGTACCGAGGCGACATCATGACGGTCCACGTGCCCACCGTGCCCGAAGCCAATAAAGTGTGCTGGGAGTTTGCCACAGACGGCTACGACATTGGCTTCGGCATCTATTTTGACTGGACTCCCGTGACGAGTCGGTCCATCACGGTGCATATCAGCGAGTCGAGCGATGACGAGGACGAAGAGGAGGAGCTTGAAGGTCAGGCGCCGACGCCCCTCTTTGCGATGGCAGTTGTACTTTTATATGTTTTCCCCCCACTGGGGTTACGATTCGGTGTGTTGACTTTGTGGATCATGTGATTTCTGCAGGGCCCATCGGCAACGGGGACGTCGAGAAGGGCTCCAAAACTCACACCAACTCTAACTTGTCTGAAATCCTCCCCGTGTACCGCCAGGACAGCCACCTGTCCGTGCAGGGGGGGAGCCACGAATTTCCAGGTGAAGGCACTTATCTCCTGAAGTTTGACAACTCCTACTCCCTTTGGCGAAATAAAACACTTTACTACAGGGTTTATTATAGTGCCTGAGATGCCAATTTATCGCTTATGAATGTACAATTTACTGAAGAACAATGAACTATTTTTGATTCCACACTTGTTGGGGGAGGGATGGGAGGGAGACATAATTGAAATTCTAAAATAAAATAGAAAAAAAAAATATATATATATAGGGATATCTATTTTTTAGCACCGTCTGCTTGTGTTGTCTCTTGTTGAATTTAAGTTTGTAATCCCACAGATTTCAAACGCTTCAGTGTCTTGCTAACATGTGTTTGAAGAAGCCTTGCATATGTGCCATTTTTCCCATGTGTGCACCGTGCTATTTGGTCAAGTGCCCATCATAAAATATCTATTGTCTTCACCTGTAACAGATCTATGGTAGCAGTGATCAGGGAAGACCTGCACGGGTATAACTGTGTTAAATCAGCTATGATCTAAAGAAAGAAGCTTTGTTGTTGTGTGCGTGTGTGTGTGTGTGTGTGTGTGTGTGTGTGTGTGTGCGCGCGCTTGTGCACCTTTTTTTTTTCTTATTATTCTTATTGCTTTGTCTTTGTTACCAACCTAACTTATTTTTTTCTTCTCTGTATTGATCCTAATCACGTGAGATTTCAGATTATGTAAATTCAGAGTATGGCGATGTCTGCTGTCACAGTGGTGTGTTGGTTAAAAAATATATATAAGTCGAATGTACTGAAGCAAGTGGTAATCAGACTGTGCTTTTTATGACACAATTAAAAGCCATCCCTTATCACATGCAGCTCCTTATGTAATAAAAAAATCAATATTTACATTTGACTTGCACACTTTCATTATGTTTGGAGGTAGATTATTTTTTGTGCACAAGTCTAAGAAGTAAGTTACTGTTTTGTTTTTGGTCTTTTTAAAAAAAAAAAAGATTATCTTTCTTTCCTCATTTCAATCACTCTTTGTGCATCTTCCAAAGATTTCACAGATCTGGCTGCTGACGTTGTATACAGCATACTGTAAAGCAACTGATACTGTTACTGTACTAAACCCTCGCTGTAAGTTATGCTGATGGCATCAAATCCTGAAATTTCTAATTCCTCAATAAACAGACCATTGTCTCATTTCCTTTGTGGTTAATTGAGGCGATTAGATAAAACCAGCATGAATCACGGTCGATTACTGGACAGCTTGAGAAAAAAATAAATTAAAAAATGGCCAGCCAAAGCTGCGCATTTCACCCGAGACCCCGTCATTTCATAACAGTCTCGCTGCACATCCAGGATTAGAAAGCACTTCAGGGTGGCCCCTTGTGTTTCCATTAAATTGTGACATAAGGGGATTGATGTAATAGTTGCACAGAGGTGCTGATGAAACCAGGTTTTATTTTCAGTTCTCCCTTAAGGCCTCACACAATCTTACGACGCAGCTAGTCTTGCTTGGGCTTTACTGGATTTTTCTTTTTTTTAAAAAGAAAAATGGTCAATAATTTATGGAAAGCTACTCTCAGTATCATCAAATTCATTATTTATTCAATTAACTTCACGGAAATATAAAGATGTACTAGAATCTAACATAATCCACATTATCTACAAGCATATGATGGTCGAATGTCAGCTGGCATCCAGAAGCTGTTTAAAAAAAGGGATAATAAATACAAATGAAGATGAAGTTATATTATTTTGAGAAACCCAAGGTTAGCACAAATGTGAACAGTCATTGAGTTTCTGTTTCGAGGCCTTTGGAACTGTACTGACTAAATAAAAATTTGCAGCACACTCGACTGCTTAAAAAATTGCATAGGACTAACATAATTATTCAGTACTGTGATAAATGCTCCTTTTCTTTCTTTTTTATGGTTTGT